TCAGTTTCTATGGAGGTTCATGTGCACTAACTGAGGGTGTTCAGAGAGCATTGGAAACACAAGCCTTAATTTTAGGCTTTCTTTCTTACTCTCTGAGAGTCATCAGTAGATGTCCATAGGGTTAATGTTGGTCAGCAGGACCTCAAGGAGTTGCTCATCTTATTGACCTGCCTCCCTGGAAAGAAAACAAGCTATAGTCTATTAGCTCATCCCTAGAAGAAGAAAATTCTAGGGAATCAAGATAAGTTAAATTTTAGACAAGTTGTAGGTTGGAATATAGTGGAGTTCAAGATCATTGTCTCAATGAGAAAGCAGATTAGCCTGCAATAAAAACAGAATAAAAATGATTAGAAATGGAGTAGAAAAGAGGTAAAAGTAGGGGGAAAGCAGTCTCTCAAAACTGCTAATGGGAATGGAAATTGGTACAATGTTTCTGGGAACAATTTTGTCAATATATTGCAAAATGCAAAATGCACATACTTTTGACTTGTTCAATTATTCTTATTTAGAGATCCTAGAATCATGGGAAAATAATCAGGAGTAATGTTACACAAGAACTTTAGATATTTTTGTATTGGATGGATGGTTAGGTAATGTGCAATATGATCTCAAATATGATAAAAATGCACAGAAAAAAAAGAAAAGTAATATGGCCACATAATAATGCTTCTGGATAATGAGCTTATAGTTGATGTTTTCTTCTTAATATTCCTGTAATTGAAACATTTTCTATAATGAACATATGCTATTTTGATATCAAATAAAAATAAAAATGTTTAAACCAGGGAAAACAAAAACTGACAAAAAAGCCAAAGGAGCACACAAGTCCAGAGTGAAAGATGGACACTCCAGCAGTCACCATCAATGTGATGCCGACTGTAAATTTGCGTATTAGCTCTCCTTTCCTCATCACTTGGCCAGAATCTACTGTCTCTGGGGCAGGGCAGAAGACATGATGTATTCCAGAGACTCAGAAGTTTCCAAAACCATAGAAGAAAATGTAAAATGTTAATGTGAAATGCTGAAGAAGAACCAGACCCCTGAAACCTCTTGGAAATGACTACAGCAGATGAGAATTTTCCTGGTTAGCACGCAGCCAAAAAACTGATTCTGCCTGGAAGTTCTCACCATAAATTTGGTTTCCTGTAGTCTGACCCTGAAGCTTTTCATAAAATAATTAAGTTTCACTAGGGCAGTGATGGCGAACCTTTTGAGCTCGGCGTGTTAGCATTTTGAAAAACCCTAACTTAACTCTGGTGCTGTGTCACATATAGAAATTTTTTGATATTTACAACCATAGTAAAACAAAGATTTATATTTTTGATATTTATTTTATATATTTAAATGACATTTAACAAAAGAAAAATCAACCAAAAAAATGAGTTCGCGTGTCACCTCTGACACGCGTGTCATAGGTTCGCCATCACTGCACTAGGGTCTGAATAGAGCTTTTTGAGAACCTAACAAAAGTATTTAAGTTTCTTTGTTGCTATGGTTATGATATTTTAAAGAAGACTTCTCTTCTCATTCTTAGGCCAGGACATTCTTAATCAAAATCTCAACCAGAACCTGAGAGATGCTTTTTGGGACTGAGAAGAGATCTTTCATAAGCCAAATTTAGCCCATTGATTATACTCTAATTAGAGACAATTGACAGATAATTCTTTCAGATTTCATAGTAAAGCATCAGTAAGCTAGGAATGAAGAGGGAAAAAGGAATAACACAGATAAGCTGGACTTGGGTTTACCACTTTGTCTGAATAAGTGAGAATTCATTTTGAGAGTGGAAAACTATCTCACATGTACAAGAATGTTTGTGGCAGCTTTGCTTATAATTGAAAACTAATAACTTCTATATCCACTAATAGGAGAATGGAAAAATGAAGTATGACATAGTCATCATATCATGTAGAATATTTTCCACATATAAAAGTGAATTAAAATGGTGAAAAAGGTGAAAGGATTAGGAGAAAAAATATATATGACACATAGACACAGACAACAGTATAGTGATAGCCAAAGGGAAAGAGGGGCAGGGAAAGGTAGAAGAAGGCAAAGTGGGGATAAATGGGGATGGAAACAGACTTGACTTTGGGGGGTGAGCACACGATGCAGTGTGCAGCTTATACATTATTGAGTTATAGACTTGAAACCTATATGATTTTATTAACCAATGTCACCCCAATAAATTCAATAAAATATAAAAGTAAAAATGTATGAACTAGAGCTACTAAGACAAATAAATCTTAAAAAATTACATTGAGAAAGAAAGCAAGTTGTTGAAGAATATGTACCACTTACATAAAAATGTAGAACATGCAAACCAATACTAAATGTCTTTTATGAATACTTACATATATAGTAATAATATAAAAACATGCCCACGAATGACAAACACCAAAGCCAAAATACTGCTAACCTCTAAGGAAGAAGGGATGGATTGTGAAGGACACAAGAAGGTTTTTACTCTATGGATGGTATCACATTCTTTTTTTTAAATATATTTTTATTGATTTCAGAGAGGAAGGGAGAGGAAGAGAGAGATAGAAACATCAATGATGAGAGAGAATCATTGATTGGCCGCCTCCTGCATGCCCCTTACTGGGGATCGAGCCCGCAATCTGGGCATGTGCCCTTGACCAGAATGGAACCTGGGACCCTTCAGTCCTCAGGTCGACTCTCTATCCACTGAGTCAGACCAGCTATGGTGCATTTCTTTCTTTCTTTTTTTTTTTAACGAATTCATTGGGGTGACATTGGTTAATAAAACCATGCAGATTTCAAGTGTAAACCTCAATAAAACATTATCTGCACATGCCCACGTGTGCCCATCACCCCAAGCAAAGTCTTTTTCTGTGCCCATTATCCCCCCTCTCCCGCTTTGTCCACCTCTGGAAGCAATTATGGCAGAAAGTTAGGACTCTGTAGAGCTAAGTGGTGAGTACACGAGTATAATGTTATTCTTTGCACTTTTGTCTATTTGCAATATTTCATACTATATAAAAAGTTCATTCAATCAAAATTTTACATCCATAATAAGCAATAACAACCCAAGGGACAAAAAAAGTGAGCATTCCACCTAACCACTGAGCTTTTATCCCATCAATAATGAAAAGGAAACAGTGATTGACTCTAGGAATCTGCCAGTTAGGATCTCCTTGTGGAAGATTTAAAGGAAAATGTAAGAAAACCTGGCAGGACTTCATGTGGGAAAGAATCTTCATGTGGAAAAAAGGTACTATGGACAGTTAACAAGGAAAATAATCTTTTCCAGCCTGGAAGAATATTGTAGAGGAAACTGCTCCACAATTCTCTTATCCCCTGTATTTACCACCATTTCCTCTTATGCGGAATGTTCCTGGAAGATGAATAGGAATCTGTCCCAACTACTGTTTGATAATAGCTGTGGGAAATGACAGCATGCTGAGGTAGATGGCATCACACCTCACTGAAAGAAAAAAAATCCCTTTGGGAGACAATGAAGTATTACAGAAACAGTAAGGGTTGTGGAGTCCAGATGGATGAGGTTGAGCAATCACATAATCTCCCTGAGCCTCATTTCCTTCATTTGTTTTTTTTGTGATAAATAAATAAAATAATGCATGTAAAATGCCTGACAGGTAGACTGCATTGATACAAGAGTTCTCTTCCATTTCCTTGGGGAGAAAAGGGAATAGCCAGAATCTTGCTGGAAAACTAAATAATGCTTTAAAGGAGAAATAAAGAGAACACACTGCTTCTTGGATATTCTGGCTAAGTAGTTATTTGAACTATGAATGACTGGCTATTTCTAATTAGCATCTTCTGCATTCTTCCCAATCATAGGCAGGCTATGAAGTTTCCTGAATTTTGCTCTGGTGTTGTCCCTAATAGTGTTTTATATTAACTTGAGTAAAGATAGGAGCCAAGGGTGGTTTAGATTACTAATTCTGCAAGTGCTATATATATTAATTTCTTGGCATAGTCCAGTCTGTAAGATGGATGAACTATTTCTTATTAAACTCAAAATCTTTACTTTTGAGTTTAATAACGAGAACATTATAATGTTGTAATTCTGTATTTTAAACAAAGAGTTTTGTATCTATTACTTTTCCTCCTCTTTCTTTATATGAAGTGTGTGTGTGTGTGTGTGTGTGTGTGTGTGTGTGTGTGTGATTCATGTCACTTCCATTTCCACCCTCTGAGTGAAGTGTATGGTCAGTTCTCATGGTGCATGTTTGTCATCAAATCAACTCTGTAGGCTTCTGAAATTGTTAGGAAAAACAATTAGTACCTGCTATAATACATACCTAAAGAAACTGCAAGTGCTCTCTAACACACAGTGTTCATTACATAGCAACCTTCAGAAAGACATAAAGATAGATACCTCTCCTTTCACATTATTGCTGGATGGACCAGTGGTGACTAAGAAAAAACTGTCACATTTTCAGGCTGCATTTCCAGACTGGATCACAAGGAAATAGGAGAAGAGCAGTCAAAGAAGGGATGACCAGGCCATGGAAATTCCAGGAATCCTCCAGTTCAATGATCTAGACTAGGGTAGAGTCCATTTCACCGCTTGCTCACAGGGGTTTTGGCTAGTGAGAGGCTTACTTACTTCCTCATACTTAGACCAACACTAAACCCTACCCCAACACAGACTTGAAAGAGAGGAAGGCTCCCTCTTGTACAAACTGGATTTGTTCTAAAAATGAAAAAGAGCAGAGACAGCTTCCAGAAGGACCTGTCTTATAGGAAATAGGAACAGAGACCAAGACTGAAGCAGATGTTGGGTCTGAGCAGGGAGTATATCTATCAAGAGTTTGCAACAAAACCAAAGACAAAATGCTGGATGTGCTTTACTCAGCTTAAAAAAAAATAGCCAGACATGGTTTGTTGGGAAGCTTCAGATCCAATTTTCTGGTTATGCTACTCAGTTTCTTTAGGATTTTATTTTGTTTCATGTAGTTTGAGTCTTTGATTGTGAAGAGGTACTTAATTAGAATTCACCATGGGAACAAATGCGATATTATTACAGGATTCTCCATGAGTTGGCAGTTCCCGAGAAAAGAGTATTATTAGTTGGTTACCACTACTTCTGTGTAAATGAATAACTTTAATATCAAAAGAAATCTCTTTGGGATTTTAGCTGAATCTGAATATAAGAAAGGACTCTCATTGGTTGTAAACACTTAAGAGTTTGTCATTCCCATTTAAACCAAGGAGTTAGGGAAGAGAGCTGTGTGGAAGGGTGTGGGGAAAGGTTTGCTCCTTTGCCCAACTTTTTCTTGAAAGATTATTTACACACCATGAACTAATCCACCCCCAGAAGACAATGGCATCCACATAGCAGATCATTCTGAACATCCCTGCTGTTCCTTTAACCTATTTTTGTCCCTCCAGTATGATAATAGACACTTCTATATCACAGAAAAGAGTAATATAACGGTGTGGATAGACTCAGGCTTCAATAAAAACCACTCCCTTGCTTTCCTGGTGTGAGCAATATTCTGTGCTTCACAAGCAATAAAAAACCTGCTAACTTTATTTTGCTTCCTAGTGCCACCAAAAGCATAAGTAGTTTAGTTAAAAAGCTAAATCCCAACCCCAGGAGAAAAACCCACCACAAACAAAACTTGAGAGGGAATGGTGATTTTTTTAGGGTATATTTAGGGTTCTGTTTTTGTGACAGTATTTATATTTTCATCTTATAGTTCTAATAAAGGTTTGGAATTCATAATATAAGATCATGCATAAATTTTAAGTGAATAACTGATATGAAGTGTTGTTTGTGTTAATAAAAATGGTGACTCTGTGAACTTTCTTTGCCTTTCTGTATTTCAGTTACCTAAACTAAATATTTCTGGGGTACTATAAGTTTGGAGAGTGGCTAAATGAGTTACTTTTTAAAAATATATATATTTTATTGATTTTTTTACAGAGAGTAAGGGAGAGGGATAGAGAGTTAGAAACATCGATCAGCTGCCTCCTGCACACTCCCTACTGGGGATGTGCCCACAACCAAGGTACATGCCCTTGACCAGAATCAAACCTGGGACCCTTGAGTCCGCAGGCCGATGCTCTATCCACTGAGCCAAACAGGTTAGGGCTTGAGTTACTTTTTATAAATGATCAGAGATGGCATCCATAAGAGTAATATGACTGCATCATTTTTGCATGATGCTGTTTAAGAACTAATCTAAGTAAAAAGGTGGGGAAAAGCCAAAAGACAAAAACAACTCCCTCCCCCAAAATTGTTTTTTTTTTAAATTTTAGAACAAAGCTTCAACCATTTGTAGCTCTATCAGTGGGTGATGAGCAAAATCAGTTGGGCGTTAGTATTCATCCATAATTGCAGGTGCACCCTCCATATCCTTATTAGACCCCTTGTACAGACCCCAGTGGGACAATGTTTGAAAAATTACACTCACCATCTAGGAAACTGGGAACTGAAAGTCCAATATCTGCCTCAGTGGAGTTCTGGCACCTGCATTATCTCTGTTGGGGATATCAGAGTCCACAGCTGCACAGAGACTTTTGCTATTCACAGATTCTGCACTTATCATCATAAAAGGACGGTTAGTATAAATTTGCCTCTAGACATTACCAAGCACACAGGTACATGTCATTTGCCATCCAGAGCATTTCATTGCTTTATACATGACTTTCGTTTATGTGAGGTTACAATGTAGAACCAATCCACCCTATTCAATGTACATCCATTATACCTGAAAACTGACAGAGATGGGGACTGTGGAAGAAGGATGTTAAGGAAAGAAGAAGGTCCTTTGTTAGCTCTACACGTTTCTGTTCCATTCGAAACTAGGTGGCTAGGCTGAGGGGGTACCAAGGGTGATTAGAATTAATGTGATGGGTTGTCAAGAGCTTTCATTATCAACAGCACACAAGTGAGCTCCAGAAAGACGAAGCTATGGCTGCAGTAATACTGGAGAGCATCTTTCTGAAGCGATCCCAGCAGAAAAAGAAAACATCACCTTTAAACTTCAAGAAGCGCCTTTTTCTTTTGACCGTGCAGAAACTTTCCTACTATGAGTATGATTTTGAACGTGGGGTAAGTTTCTCTGCTGTGATACCTGAGTATCAAGGACTTGGCCTTAGATCTTCATTGGGGGAGGGGTTAGAGGCTTTTTGGTTGGAGGAGAAAGGTGGAAGGAACTTAAGTACATTTTAAACTCAGCAAAATATTTCCTAGACTAGAATTAGCTACAACCACATAGGAGCAAAAATTCAAAGGTGCTAAGAAGCCATGAGGGAAATCTTACCATGGGATTTTTGCCATTGGTGAGCATTCATTAAATGATTGTTGAGAATGAAATCCAAGACTTGAAAATTGCTTCCTTATTTTTTGTTATAAAGACACACAGTCATCTACTCTTTTATAGTGCTTACCCTCCATCTGGTAGTCAAAAAAGGGTGAGAGCTGGAAGTTTTTTTGTCTTTTCAAAATGACGGGTCCTGATAATAGATCGTGGGTGTCACCTCACTATGTTGAATGAGTAGATAAAATCTAATCATCCGGTTGCTTAATCACTCTTTTTTTCCTTTTTATTGAATTTATTGGGGTGACACTGGTTAATACAATTATACAAGTTTCATGTGTGCAATTCCACAACACATCATCTATATTCTTTCTCCATTTTCTCCCTCACTCTCTTTCTCAGAGAAGAGGCAGTAAGAAGGGTTCAATAGATGTTGAGAAGATCACTTGTGTTGAAACAGTGGTTCCTGAAAAAAATCCTCCCCCTGAAAGACAGATTCCGGTAAGAAGAGACCATTGACAGAACAGGGGTGGGGGTAGGTGATGGGGAAGCAGATAAGAAACTTGGAACACTTCAATTCTCTGTAAATAAACTGGTTGGTGATACGGTATAATGTGGAACACACAGAAAAAGCTTTATAAAATTCTTCACTCTGTCATGTACTGATTCTACCAAGTCTCAGCATTTTCCCTCAGATTCAGAACAACTCATTTACCTAGAAAAATTTGTAACACATATTTCAAGATGGCGTTATATCAACTTTTCAAACTAATCAGAGATGGTTGGTTTTATTCCCCCAGTTACCAGGGTCAGATTTACAAGGTTGAGTTGGTTTTAAAGCCAGTATCCCAGGACTCTGAATAATAAGAATTTTTTTTAATAGCTCACTTATTCTCCTCTCATTTCCCATAGCCTCTCCTGGGCATACCACTTATTGAGTTAATTTTAAAGTATCATTTTTTTCAGATTACAAGACAAATTAATATTATAGAAACTTGCAAAAATATGAAAAAGCACAAGAAAAGATAAAATCACAGATAATCACATCATCTAGCTAAAACATTATTAACATGTTGGTGTATGTTTTTTTTTCCACTACCAACACATATTTCCAAACTAATATGTGTTATATATTTAAAACATAGAATCATACTACACATCTTGCTTTGCAACCTACATTTTCAATATATGAAATCTTTACCCCATGACAATAGGTACTCATTAATAATATGAATTTCATGGCTGCATCGTATTCCTTATCATGGATATACAATTCTGTAATTTGTTTAACCAATTCCCTGTTACTACACATTTAAGTTGTTTTCAAGTACTTGACATTATAAACCATGTTGGAGGAACATCCTTGCATACATATGTACTTTTGTTAGTCTTTTTCTTCAATAACTTCCTAGAAGTAAAATTTTTCTTCTCTTTATGAAATCTATGCACTTTGGTTATTTTTATCTTTTTATTCTATTTTGTTTACTAGAAGTGGAATTTGAATTTAATACACTCCTACAAATTATGCATGAGAATATCTATTTCTCTACATTTTTTTAATGCCAGATATTATAGTCCTGGGCAGGTTTGGCTCAGTGGATAGAACATCAGCCTTCAGACTGAAAGGTCCCAGGTTCAATTCTGGTCAAGGTCTGGTTGCAGGCTCAATCCCCAACCCTGGTCAGGGCACATGCAGGAGGCAAACAATCAATGTGTCTCTCTCATATTGATGTTTCTCTCTCTCTGTCTCTTCCCCTCCCTTCCACTCTCTCTAAAAATCAATGGAAAAATATCGTCAGGTGAGGATTAAAAAAACAAAAAATACCAGATATTGTAAATGTTTGTTAAGTTGTCATCCAAGAAAAATGGTATTTCATTGCTGCCTTATTTTGCAATTATTATTGTTGTTGTTGTTAAAGTCTATGGATTTTAAAATCTATGTCATCAAATTAATTCACCTTCTACTTAATGATTTTAATTTTTATCATTATATTAGAAAACTCTTATCTCCCACAAGATTTTATTGTCAGTTGTTTTTTTCTCAGCCATTCAGTTTCATTTTTTATTGATTTCAGAGAAGAATGGAAAGAAAGAGAGAGATAGAAACATCAATGATGAGAGAGAATCCTTGATCGGCTGCCTCCTGCATGCCTCCTCCTGGAGATCAAGCCCACAACCCGGGCATGTGCCCTCGTCTGGAATTGAACCCGGGACCCTTCAGTCCGCAGGCCGACACTCTATCCACTGAGCCAAACCAGCTAGGGCTCAGTTTCATTTTTTTACATTAAGCTCTTGAATCCATCCAGAATTTACTTTGGTGTATGGTGTGAAATAGCTACCTAACTCCTTCCCCTATCACCAATATTAGTGGTTAAATGTCCCAGTACCATTTATGGAGTAAACTCCATTTCTGCAATGATTTGAGATGTCTGAGGCTTTTTTAAAAAATGAATATGTGATGGTTCCTATGGATATGTGTCCTTACTAGGTTATAGGAAGCAGTCACTAAGAATCTGCATTGTCTGTGCAGGAGAGCCTTCTTGGCCTACTGCAAAGAACTCACAGCACCAAAGGAAATCCAGGAAAGAACAATGCATCAACCAATAACCATGATTTTTCTTCTTTCATTGCAGAGAAGGGGTGAAGAGTCTGGTGAAATGGAACAGATCTCAATCATTGAAAGGTTCCCTTACCCCTTCCAGGTGAGGTATTTTCTCTCACCAGCTCTCAGAGGAACCTGTAATGTAGTCATTAGGGATGGGATGTGGGGCAAAAAGCAGGATACTAAGTCCCAGGAAACAAAAGTTGAGGTGAACAAGGAAACTGGACTAAGAAATGAGACTGGTATGATCTAAGAGTGTTTGCTGTTCTATTTTCCCAATCTCACATAGTTTCTTTTAGTTTCTACACCTCAAAGAGACCCCATAATGGCATTAATTTTATTGTGGTGTGTCTTGTATATGATAACTGCATTGAGAAAGATGAGCTGTTTGTCGAGTGAGCATTTCACTTCCTCTGGTTCTGCATATCTGTCTAACGGTGGCCATGTGGGTTGAAAAGTCAGAAAAGGGGAGGGGAGAAGTATTAGGAAGTTTGGTATGGGGAAGGCTTATTAGACTTATACATAAACCTAAATTCTATTCTAGTCTGGGATGATTGGAGAGCCACATAGACATATGTTTGGTAGATGCATTGTAAGCCATAAAGGAGAACAAGAAATTCAATTCATCTTGCTTGTGTCCTGAGAACTCTGTAGGCCACTTGTCTTGAATATAGAAGCCCCTGCAACAGTGAAAGCCAGAAAAGGAAGTGGAAAGTCTCAGGGGAGGGGGCTTTCTGTCATGGATTGATGAGCACAGCAAGACTAACAAGCAAGAAGAAAAATGTAAAAGGATCTTGCTCATGTCCTTGACTGTATCAAAGTTTACAAAAATTTTGACGGAGGGGTATTTTAGACATAGTTTTGCTACCATTGTGTTTCAACAAGATGACATTGTTTGGCTGGGCTAGTAGAAAAAGCTAAGCTGCATATAATTCAAAATTAATTTACATTTGACTTTAGAATCCACTATGTGAGGTTTATTAAGTCTCTACAACACCTAGCACAGTGCCTTGTTCTGGTGAGGTGTTAAAAATATTGACTGTTTGATTTGATGATAGTGCTTAACATATACTTTACTCTTTTTGGAGTGGATTTGTGTCCATGTTTGGTTTACTTTGGCTAATATTGGGAAGTGGAGGCCACTGGGCTGTGAGGGGAAAATTATCCATGAGTTAAAATTTGGTTCCATATTATCCAAGTGAATAATTCATATGTACTAACCAAGACTTCAGTTATATAAATCATTACTTCAATTCTCTATACAAACTCATAGTTTAATAGGATTATAAAACAGCCTTTGTTGAATAAACAAAAGTCCTGTCTCCACCATGGGCCGAGGGAAACATTATGAACTAAATTTACACACAAATTGAAACATAAGTCAGGAGAACCTAGTATTCAGTAAGCTAAGACCTTCTAAGTCCTACATACCTGGATATGAATTGCTTAGGAATTCTGCAGATAGCTCACATGACCCTGGACCAAATGTTGACTAAAGACCCTGCGTTTTTTTGTTTTCCACTATGAATATACAAAGTTGTGACTTAAAATTATTTACATCAAGATCTTTCTCCTTTTATTCTGAATCCTAACTGCTAAGTCTGTGTGTCCATTGTCCCAGGTTGTATATGATGAAGGGCCTCTCTATGTCTTCTCCCCAACAGAAGAATTGAGGAAGCGTTGGATTCATCAGCTCAAAAATGGTGAGAATTATTTGGAAAAGAAAGAAAGAGAATTAATTTCCAAAGAAAAGAAAGGCAGGAGGAAATAAGAGGGATGGGGGAAGATGGAGAGGGAGAAAGAGAGAGGGAAAGACCAAAGAGAAGAGAAGAGAATAAAGAGAGAGGGGAAGACAGAAGAGAGAAAAAAAGAGAGGGGTGAAGGTGAAAAGGAGAGAGGAAAAGATAGATGGAAGGAGGGAAGTGAAAGAAAAAATAAAGAGAGGTGGAAGGGAAGGAGGGAGGGAAGGCAGGAGATAGGAAGAGGAAGAGAAAAAAAGAATTTTTCCAATATTAGTGATGCAGTTGAGTTTAATCTTCCATCATATGAAAAAAAATATCACACACTAGACTAAGAATTTCAACCCAGTTCCACCACTATGTCTGTAGTGCAATGTTGTAATTGTAAGTATCTCCATTTCTCTATTTATAAAAATGTACCATTCTTTACACTGTTTATAAGGGTGGTGTGGTATGGCATTCAATGGTTATTTGCAATATTTTGAATCCTAAGTATGCAATATCTAGTTCCAAAAAAAATAGATGTTTATAAGAGGGCTTGAAGTCAATGTAGAGAACCTGGTTCCAAGCCCTCTTCCACCACTAATAAGCAAAGTAACTTCTGGCAAGTAGGCTAATAAATTTCTTTAAGACTTGGTTTCTTCTGAATTTGGAGTAATATGCATGCCATACCTACCTCCAAGTTTGTCTTAAGGATTAAATGATGCTATATATGTGAAAGCATGTGGAAAACAGTAAAGCACTGTACAAGAAAGCACTATACATATCTTCATTGTGGATAAATACTTTCCAAGGAATTATTTTATGTTCCTAGCTTTATGAAGATCTACACTTGAACATAGTTTCAGCATTTCATATACACCATATGGTGTTCTCAGATAAACTTGACAGTAAATGCTTGTAGCACAGGATGCATGAACACATATTTGTGTGTATATATAGCCACACGTCAAGTGACTGAGAGATTAACTGGTTGAGTTGACATCAGGAAAGGCTGCCTAGAGAAACAGGAAGGATGGCAGACTGATAACAGCATGGTTGGGTTATTGCATGACAGCCTTTTGTCTCAATAACATTTAGATTCTGATACTTGGTAGCTGGCTACACCAGCTTTGTCCACTCCCTTGAATACAAGTCAATTGGTTAAAATAAAAATTACCGATTTTTTCAAGCTGAAAGAGGAGAGGAATAAGGAAGAAAGGGGCCATTTGTTGAATTCTTGCTATGTACCAGACACTGAGCTAAATACCTTATATTTATTTTTTCATTTAATTTTTATAGCAACTGTGGGCAAAAAACAACAACTATAATAACTAATGTTTAATGAGCACGTATAATCTACCAGGCTCTGGGCCAAGTACTTCAAATGTACAATTTCATTAAATTCTCACAATAAGCTTATGAATTGTGTATCATTTGTCTATTTACAGAGAAGGGACTGAGGCTCAAAGAGGTTAAGTAACTTGCTCAAAGGCATACAGCTAGTGAGTGGAGAAGACTGGATTCCTACCACATCCCAGAAACTAAGCTAAAAATATAGTTTCATGCTACTTGGTTCTCTAGCCCAGAAATTGAACCTATAGTTGGTGTAAGATACAGTCATGTGCTACATAATGACATTTTGGTCAACAACAGACTGCATATATGACAGTAATCCCATCCTATATAGTGAAAGGGTAATATGCAAATTGACCCTAATGGTGGAACGACAAGGAATGACTGGTTGCTATGATGTGCACTGACCACCATTGGGCAGACGCTCAATGCAGGAGCTGCCCCCTGGTGGTCAGTGCGCTTCCACAGGGGGAGCTCCACTCAGTTACAAGCCGGGCTGACAACTTTGAGCCTAAGCTGGCAGGTGTACATCCCCCGAGGGGTCCGGGACTGTGAAGGGTGCAGGCCGGGCTGAGGGACCCCCCCAAGTGCATGAATTTTCATGCACCGAGCCTCTAGTCCTATATAATAAAAGGCTAATATGCAAATTGTCCCCTCGACCAGGAGTTTGACCCAGAGTTCAACTGGGAGTTCAACCAGGGGGCGGGCTGGCTGGACTCCACCTGTGCATGAATTCATGCACCGGACCTCTAGTAAGATTTTAAAGGAGCTGAAGAATTCCAATTACTTAGTAACATCATAGTGCAATGCATTACTCATGTATTTGTGGTGATGCTAGTGTAATAAACCTACTGAGCTACCAGTCATATAAAAGTACAGCAATATGATTGTGTACAATACATAAGACTTGATATGATAATAAATGACAATGTTACTGCTTATGTATTTATTGTACTATACCTTTATTATTATTTTAGAGCATACTTTTTCTACTTATAAAAAAAGTTTGCTGTGAAACAGTATGCCATTTTATACCAGCAGCAACTTCATACATATTGTATTTACCACAGCTCTTTATTGCATCATTTTATCTTGTGCTTGATTTAATCTTGTGTAGTTCTGTACAGTACCATGCAATACAGGCTTGTAGCCTAGGATCAATAAGCTATACCATAAGGCTAGGTGTGTAGTAGGCTATATCATCTAGGTTTGTGTAAATATACTCTATCATGTTCACACAACGATTTACAAGCCAAAACAAACAAAACACAACCACTTCAGTTGTGTCATTAGTGTGGGTAGGTGCAATTCTACCTTCTTTTCCCTTATGTTTTACCGAAGGCGTTTTTTTCCAGCTGTTCCAGACCTGGGTGTATGTCCTGTTGAACCTGCTTGGGCTGACAACATGAGTCAAAAAGCAGGTGTCTTGCAACAAAGACCATAGTTGCTGGAAGATTCAGGTGCAAGTTCTAACAACCCCAGGACAGACTGAGGTGCTAGTAATACCAATTGTGAGATAGTCTAGGAGCCATAAAATCCCACCTAGTTAATGTTATCTCACTTTAGAATAAAATGCACCAATTGAAAGTCACTAACATGCCCTGGCCAGTGTGACTCAGTTGGTTGGGCATCGTCCCATGCACCAAAAGGTTGCTAGATTGATTCCCAGTCAGGGAACATGCCAGGGTTGCAGGTTCGATGCCCGATAGGGGCAGTGCAGGAGGCCACCAATAGATGTTTGTCCCTCATCAATGTTTTGCTTCCTTTCTCCCTCTCCTTTCCTTTCTCTCAAAAAAATCAGTAAAAATATTTTTTAAAGTCACTAACATGAGAAGGGGACTTCATCAGAATCCTGGCTGCCTCTACTGTGAAGAGGCATGAGGGACCCTTCTCAGGTGCTGGATCTAAGTGTGGTTAAGTGGTTTAGACAAATGTGGTTAGCTGTATACCTTAGATATTTGTACTTTACTTTATGATATGTAAGTTATTCGTCAATTTAAAAAGTAGAGCCTCAGGTACCTCTTATCCAGCTGCTATGTTTATTTATTATTTCAGGGGCACTTTCCAGGCAAAGGTTGTATGCCTGAAGACTTAACCTTGGGCTTTCTTATTCCACTTCCTTGAACCTGACAGCAGACACTTCTATGTTATAGCACCACAGATATTTGGCTATATTCACTCTAGAATCTGTTTCCTCAAGCTCAATAGAGCCTATCCTAATTGCAATTTCAAAAATAAGAATTCAGCAAAATGAATGAAAGAGTGGCATTGGCAAAACTCCAACAACCAGTATGGAGACGAATATTTCATTCATTCCTGAAACAGAATTTTAGACATTGTCTTGATAGCTATGGATATAAGACACCAGTCCATCAAGTACTAGGAGAATGTGCACCAACCACTAGTGCTTCCCAGCCAGGGCTGGCCCTATGAATTGGTGAAGTAAGCAGTTTCTCCTAGCCTTCCCACTGTCTTAGCTCAGGCTGTCATAACAAAATACCTTAGCCTGGGTGGCTTAAACAACAAACATTTACTTCTCATAGTTCTGGAAGCTGGGGAGTCCAAGATCAAGGTGTCTCTGATTTGGTTCCTGGTGAGAATTCTCTGCCTGGCTTGCAGACTGGCCACTTTCTCACTGTGTCCTCACATGGCAGAGATAAAAAGAGAGTCTCTCTCTTGAGTTTTTTCTTATAAGGGCACTAATTCCATCATGAAGTCTCCACTCTCATGACTTAATTCCCTTCCAAAGGCCCTTTCCGAATACCATTACATTGGGAGGCTTCATAATATGAATTTTGTGGGGACACAAACATTCAGTCCATAACAGACCCTCTCCTTTTGCAATTCTCTCCTAAGTATCTGGAAATACCAGCTCTGGATTATCTAACAAAAAGGGGCCACCATTTTAAAGGAACCTCTTAAGAGGCAGGCGTTATTTGGTAATGTAGGGTGGGTTCTTAATGTGTGTGCTGGAGGTGGGGAGGACAGGAAGCTTTATGTCCCTTCATTAGCATATTGGCATAGCTTCATTTATCAGAGTAATTAGTTGTTAAAAATTCTTGGCATATCTACTAGTGCCCAGGCTTGCACCCAGGGTCTTTAAGAGTAGTGTCATTGGAAGAGGGGTAGATGGTGGCAGTGATGGGAGCAATCAGTTCTTGCTGAGAGGAGTATATGGAATGTTGTTCAGAATTGCCAGTGCCTGGTAATAATAAAACTCAGACAAATGTTTGGTTGGCTTTAATATTATTTTAAAATTCTTTATGGGTGATGCAGTCCCTTATAGCCTACACTGCATCTGAATAGCTCTCAACATCCTGTACTTGGTGCAATGGTGAAGGGGAATGCTGAAAAAGTGAGGTGTGAGGGTGGGCATGGTAAAGTGGTTAGAAATCTTCAAATCCATGTTTAGAAAAACATCAAGATAGCACTTTTAAAAAAAGATGGCACTTTTGTTCTTTTATACTTGGCCACCAGAAGTTTCCTTCCCCCCCCCCCCAAAAAAAAAAAACCTTAAGTGAGTGGAGTATGACTAACAAGTTCTTAAGGACTGGAGTTGGTCTCTATAGAGGAAGGTTTTGTTTTGTTATCTTTTTTAAAATATATTTTATTGATTTCAGAGACGAAGAGAGAGGGAGAGGTAGAAACATCAGTGATGAGGGAGAATCATTGATCAGCTGCCTCCCACATACCCCCTACTGGGGATCAAGCCCACAATCCGGGCATGTGCCCTGATCGGGTATCAAACTGTGGCCTCCTAGTTCATAGGTCAACATTCAATCACTGAACACTAGCTGGGCTTGTTATCTTTTTAAAAAATGTTATGCAGGGTTTCTTCTTAGCAGTAAAAGCTGAGATGTGTATGTCCTCAAATGCTTAGACCAGCCTAGGTCTTAGACCAGCCTAGATCTTTGCCCCAATGGAAGCTAGTGTCAGTTATTTCAGTTGTCTTTGCTTCCTTGTTATCTAACAACATGATCCCAGGAAGACTTACCTAACTGACTCCATGTGAAGGATCTTGAGATGCCACAGTATTAAAAACCATAATACCAATTCCTCTTATCTGCAAAGTACTCTATTCTTTGCAAAATACTTTAGCTTCCGGGAGATCTTCTGATCCTCACAACCCTAGAACAGAAATAGAGTTCCAGCATTCATCTCCTGCAATGAGCTCAACCCACATTGGTGGTCCTAGGAAGATTAAAACCATGTTTATTCTAGATAAAATCTAGAGGCAGAATCACCTTAATTTTCCCCTAAGCTCACTCTGTTGATTAGAATATGAACACAGAAAGCCTGGTGCAGAAGTTCTCACTAAGGCAAATATCTCTAAAATATATTTAGAGATGTATCGACTCAGGGAGCTGGGACATTGGTATATTGAAAGCTGAAGTGAGAGTTTGGCTTGGACAAATTGTGTCCCTTATCTGGAAAAAAAAACACATCGTAATCAACAGCTGCCTTACAAGAAGATTATAATGGCCACATGGGAAAACACAGATAACATATTTTTGTTCTTGGGCTTTGGAGACATCAGATATTCTTATCATGCTGGTCAGGAGATAGTTATCATGACTGACCACTGAAGAGAACTGCACAGGACCTCTCTGGGGCTGGGCATGGGAGCCAACTGGCCTTGCTGTCTGCTTCTCTCCAGGGTGGCTGATGAAGGGGCAGTTGTTTGGAGCTCACCACTAAGCTTAATTGAAGAGGAAAACATGCAAATGGTTGATTCTCCTGCATGTCAGATGTGATCTTTCTCTCTCTTCTCTCCTGTTACAGTAATCCGGTATAACAGTGATCTGGTACAGAAATACCACCCTTGCTTCTGGATTGACGGGCAGTACCTCTGCTGCTCTCAGACAGCCAAAAATGCTATGGGCTGCCAAATTTTGGAAAACAGGAATGGAAGTAAGAGATCTGATCAATATCATTTCTCCCTCCTTTGACTCTATCATACACTCTTTCAAGGGTCTATCAAACCCAGGTTTGTATATTTTGGCCATTGCACAAAGGGGCCTGGGAGAGGGTGGGTGCTGAAATCCAGCTAGTGCTCTGTTCTCCAAGCTGTGCAACCTGCCATGGGGCTGTGTCCACCCAGACTTTTTCTAACTTGCCTAAAGGCACTGCAGAGCAGAGAGGGCAAAGTCCCTGACCAAACCAGTCTCCAGGCCATTTCCTAATATGCATTCTGTATCATCACTGGTATCTTATTTTGCAGGCTTAAAATCTGGGAGTTCTCACCGGAAGACAAAAAAGCCTCTTCCTCCCACACCTGAGGAGGACCAGGTATACAGGAAAATTGGGTGCTGCTATTGCTCAAATAGAAACTTACAATTACCACAGAAAACACACCAGAGTCTTAGAATTTTTCTGGGACTTGGTACTGTTAATTGACATTCTTTCTAAGACAGGGAATTTGTCCTTCTCATTAGGACTTCCCCTTCAGTGGAAAGATAGAGGGCTATTCGGAAACCCTTGGCAACCATTTAATCCAATCACCTGTTTAAAACAAAACAGATCCTGATTTTTTAAAATAAAAGTATTTTCAAACATAAAGTTAAAAGAATTTAATAGTGAACACACAATACCTTCATCCTATCACTAACATATTACTTCAAACTTGCTTATTTGGTTACTTTTTGAGGTCTAGAAAGCTCTTCTTCATATACAGGCATACTTTAGAGATATTGTGGGTTTGGTTCCAAATCACTGAAATAAACCGAGCCATAATCTTTTGTCAATTTCTAAAACAAACAAACAAAAACAAAACAAAAAACACAATATCTGTGAAGCACAATAAAGCAGGGCAGAAATTATTATGCTCATTTATAAACAAGGAAACTGAGACTCAAAGCCACTTAGTAGATCCATGTACCTACCCTCTGTGCCAAATAGGTTTCCTGATTGTGTCTGCAAATGGTTTTTGTCCAGAAGCTTTAAAAGTACTGACATCTGAGTCCCATCCCCAAAGATTTTGATGTAATTGGTCTGGGGAACTGTCTGGGTGTCAGGATTGTTAAATAAATGTTCCCTACATGATTCTGATGTGCACTCCAAGCTTAGAACCTCTGCATAAGTGCTTAAAAATGGATGCTGAATAAACTGTCTTACTATGCCTGATTTGGATTAGAATAGTGTCTCTAGTAAACCAGAAAGTTGGGAGAGAAGAGAGTATTTAATGTCTAGCCAAACCACCCTACTTTTTTCTCCTACCTACACAGATCTTGAAAAAGCCACTGCCCCCTGAGCCAACAGCAGCACCAGTTTCCACAAGTGAACTGAAAAAGGTTGTGGCCCTTTATGACTACATGCCAATGAATGCAAATGACCTACAGCTACGGAAGGGTGATGAATATTTTATCCTGGAAGAAAGCAACTTACCCTGGTGGCGAGCACGAGATAAAAATGGGTGAGTCCAAAAAAAGAAAATAAAAATGGGTGAGTTCATGCCAGCCCTTCCTGAGCCTTGTGACCACCCACTTCACACACGTGCAACATAATTCCCTACTAATATTCCAATCAGAAATTGTTCTTCCCACATCAAGGTGAATAGGCTGCCCCTCCAAGTGCTTCCCAGAGTGAAGCTCTACAGGTGACCACCTCTCTGAGCCTGTAGGTTCTGGCCCAAATATTGTAGTGCACAAATAATTGATGCCACATGTGCAGAAGCCACACATTTCACTAGCCAAACCATGCATCTGTTACATGATCCTCTTTGAGGGAGGGGTATGGTTTATATACCTCCATTTGAGATTGGTCTCAGGGGTATGGGCCTATGAATCTGTTTCTTCCCCGGGGAATGGGAATGCTGGGTTATCTACCACAATGTCTCCTCTACAGGCAGGAAGGCTACATCCCTAGTAACTATGTCACTGAAGCAGAAGACTCCATAGAAATGTATGAGTGAGTATGCTTATGATTCCAGCGCGCAATCTTCCAGGAGGAATAGAATATAGTATATATGTTTTTGAAGTTTCAACAAAGCTTTGATTTTAAGATACTCATTAAAATCACTGCTAACTAGGTCAAATGATGCCACCACCCCAAGTTAGTGCCTATGTCTTACCTTCGCCACAAATACTATCTGTTTATGAGAGGTGGGGAGATCACCACACCCCCCAAAATCCAAAAGAACCACACTCTAAGAAAGAATTGACAGTCTGATAGGACACATTTGAAAGGGTGAAAATGTCAAACTTCTGCCATTATCCTTTCTCCTTAATCATAGAAATAGATTGTCCTTGAGTGCCCTGTCCCTGATCCCTTCCCTGCAACCCTCTGCCACCTGTCTTTGTCCTCTACTCTCCATTTCCATGAATTTTCAGTACCAAGTGGGTTTTGGGAAAGTGATGCAGTTGTGCTTTGCATAAGATAGGCACTCAGTAAAAATAGGGGTTGAGTGGATTGACTGAATCATTAGGATGGACACTCTAATCTTGGAATCAATTACACCATGGTCTAGGAGCCACTCAAGCACTCTCCCTTTACAGGTGGTATTCCAAACACATGACTCGGAGTCAAGCTGAAGAACTGCTAAAGCAAGAGGTAAGTGTGTGACCACAAGTAAATGGCATCCTCCTTGCACAAAACGTGAGGATCCTGAATTGAGGGCTTGCTGCTGCCCACTAGGCAAGGCAGTGTCAAGACCATCATTTTTATTGGGTCCCAATTATACTCTTCAGTATCAAAAGCAACGAGGCTGCAGGTGAATCATGGAACTTGGCATTGAAAGCAGGGGTTGTTCTATTTTCTCCCAGGTTTTGGATGCAGATGTGAGCACCACTTCCTCCTTAGAGTAAGCTTATTTTTTTTGTTGTTTCAGGGGAAGGAAGGAGGTTTCATTGTCAGAGACTCCAGCAAAGCTGGAAAATATACTGTGTCTGTATTTGCTAAATCTACAGGGTGAGTGCTACTCTTCCAAGGCCCTGGGGACAAAGGACAGGGGTGCCCACCCAACAGCTCCTTAATGGTGTGCCCCTCGTATTTCCTCTGTCCCTTAAACTCAAAACTCATCTCACTTCACTTCTTGGGTCCTGCATGTTCCCAAGTTGCTGACTTAGAATCTACTTCTCAGGGACCCTCAAGGGGTGATACGCCATTATGTTGTGTGTTCCACACCTCAGAGCCAATATTACCTGGCTGAGAAGCACCTTTTCAGCACCATCCCTGAGCTCATTAACTACCATCAGCATAACTCTGCAGGTGAGTACCAGGGACACCAAAGAAGGGTGTGCCAAGCCCCAGAAGAAGTAATTCAGAACAAGGTGATGAGGGGATGAATAAGCCTCACAGGGCAGTCAGTGCAATTAGCTGTGAAAGTCAACCCCTGTGATGCTCAGTGGTGGTCAACTAAAGAGGTAGTCAAAGACAGACCTTATACCCATAGGGACTGGCTTCTTATTTGGTGATTTATGCTCAGTGCTAAGGAAAAACATAGAAGAGACTGATGATTAATCAATCAGCAAGTATTCATTGAGTTACTACTGTGTACTTAGCAATTTCCTCGGTACTAGAGGAAAAATGCAGAAAATTATTAACAAAGGTCCTTGCACTCAAAGAATATAAAGTTAGAAAACATCAGAAAATGGCTTGTAAGTACAGTAAGTTCTTACTTAATATCACCAATAGGTTCTGGGATATTAAGCAAAATGATGTATAACAAAACCAATTTTAACATAGTCTAATTGATATAAACAAGTGTTAAGTTCCTATGGCAGCTCATCAACATTATAATGAAAACGTTATTTGAGGATCTACTGTAGTGTAGACATTCTAAAAACTGAAAAGTTGGTAAGGGAAAAAGCTTCATGGAGAAGATAGAATGTGAGTTAAGTCTGGGCTGGGAGGTGGGGATATATTTAATTGGGTAGTGCATTTTAATTAGTATTTCTATTTTTTGTACCTAAAAACTTTTTTATGGGAGGAATAACTTCCAGAAAATGTTGGGTTCATGAAGATCTTCTGGGATTCAAAATGTACTAGAAAGATGAACATCGGAAGTGTGAGGTTTTAAGTGAGGGTGTGTCAGGTATCTCACCCCTACACTGCACCAAGAACATGATGCCCTCTGTATGTTTCAGGACTCATATCTAGGCTCAAATATCCAGTGTCTCAACAAAACAAGAATGCACCTTCTACTGCAGGCCTGGGCTACGGTAACTGTTTATTTTTTTAGGGTAGGGTGGACTAGCCAGTTGCAAGGACTACCTTTGGCCTACCCAATTAGACCTTGCCTTGCCTTGACCGATATGTCTCGGTGGTTAGAGTGTTGGCCCAAGCACCAAAGGGTCCTGGGTTTGATTCCCAGCCAAGGGCATGTACCTGGGTTGCAGGTTTGATCCCTGGCCCATACAGGGCGCATACAGGAGGCAACCAGTCAATGTGTCTCTCTCACATAAATGTTTCTCTATCCCTCTCTCCCTCTCCCCCACCCTCCCTCCCTTCCACCCTCTCTGAAAAGCAGTGGCAAAAATATCCTCTGGTGAGGATTAACAACAACAACAACAACAACGAAAAAAGACCTTGCCTCATGAGTGTTCTTGCAACACACTGTTCTGCACCAGCTGCCTCAAGGAAGGTTAAGACAGAGCTAAACAAGTTATTTAATGATTTACCCCCTCTGGTGGCTCAAAGTGGGACTGCAAAAATATAAATTCATAAAGTGATTATTTTTTAAATTGTGGTAAAAAAACCCCACATAATCATAAACATAAAGGGTTTTAAGACATCTAGTCTATCTTCTTCCCTTATAGCTGACTTGCATCTAAAATTCCAAGATTCCTCCAACCAGTAATCTCTTGTCCCTGAGATTTACCTGAGCAAAGGTGGATTAGTACCCCTGAGAATTTCCCTTTTACTGCTTGCCTATTTCTATTTCCAGTAGGAATTCTTATTTATTGTAGGAATTATATGTACACGACTCCCAAAGACTCACACTAAGGCTTTGTTTTTATAGGATCATGGGAAATTGATCCAAAGGACCTGACCTTCTTGAAGGAGCTGGGGACTGGACAATTTGGGGTAGTGAAGTATGGGAAATGGAGAGGCCAGTATGATGTGGCCATCAAGATGATCAAAGAAGGCTCCATGTCTGAGGATGAGTTCATTGAAGAAGCCAAAGTCATGATGTGAGTTACAGCCCAAACTCAACTCTCAATCCAGTTGCTGGAGTCTAGGAATTACCAGGACAATCCATTGTGGTTTAAGGTGACTTTTAGTGAGAGATTTGGACCAGGGACTGAGGTCAACCTTTGATTGGTAGGAGTCCTAACTTCTAAGGTAATCATTTATCTGCCTTAGATATTGGTTGAAATTAGTGTTGATCATGGGTGCTTACCATCTCAGTAGCATTTCGAATGCTTGTGGAATATAAAACTTTCAAGAGGAAGACTGATATTGATTTAGCCTTAGTGTTCATTGATTCCTTGATTTGTTTCCTGTTCTATTGATGAGTCCCAAGTCCCTGCTCACTCTCACATATTAGGTACTGTTGGGATTAAGGGTGGGAAGGAGGAAAGTCAACTTGCTATTGTGGTCCCTTATCTGACACTCTAATCCCAGGCCAACCCCTTTCTACTCCAGCCCTTTTCTGACTGGTATGCAGAGCCAGAAGGGGAAGACTGGTTCATTGCCTCTCCTGTAGGAATCTTTCCCATGAGAAGCTGGTGCAGTTGTACGGTGTCTGCACCAAACAGCGCCCCATCTTTATCATCACTGAGTACATGGCCAATGGCTGCCTCCTGAACTACCTGAGGGAGATGCGCCACCACTTCCAGAATCAGCAGCTGCTGGAGATGTGCAAGGATGTCTGCGAAGCCATGGAATACCTGGAGTCAAAGCAATTCCTTCACAGAGACCTGGTGGGACCTCAGAAGGATTAGCCTGGGATCAAGGGCTGAGGGGGTGGAAGTAGCAGAGAAAGACATATCGTACATGGATGAGGAGGGTTGCTGAAGCTATCATTTCAGTTTTATCTAGAAAACACTGAAAGTTAGGTGAGCCTCTGCCCCAGTGGTCAGCCTGTCAAGGATCTCCAGCCTCAATACCATGAGTTCTGCCATGGTGGGAAATAGAGCAGTCACTTACTGCCAGCCCTGTACCATGCCAAGGAAACGGTGGGGTCCTTCAGGAGTAGATGAGCAACCCTGCTTCCCAAAGGAACTGCTCCTGACACAGAGTCATCATTTGCTTACATCAGAGTCACAAACTGGGGGCCTGCGGGTGCATGTTATTTAAAAAATGTTATATATAGCAAACACTTAAAAATATACATTTCATATTTTTTTAAAAACTGAATTTCCAGCTTCTCTAGAAAGTCTAGACCATCTTGTAACACCAGGTCCACAATCTCACAGGCCATGCTGGAGCTGAGGAGCAGCTGCCTCCTTTAGACAAGCCGCATGCTCTCCACTTTCCTGCAATCTTTATCCACCCACTTCACTCTATCAGTTTGCCTGCATGGCCTCTGGAGGCATGAGTTTGTGCCCCCATCAATTTCAGCCAGGTCAAGACTCAAAGGGCCCTAGTCCCACTGGCAGAAAAGTAGAAAACAAAACACTTGCCTTCTGTTCTCCCTTAATTCTCACAGCATTTCAGTTCAAGAAGGGATGTTGTGGAATTGCCAATGTCAATGAAATCATTCTGCATGTGCTCAGTGTTTCACTTATGAAACAGGTCACTTTACATGTGGTGAAAATGCATAAATGTTTCTCAGTAGCATCAACTAACTCCTGTTAGGTGGAAAGGTGTCTCTAGTTGAAGGAGATGAGGCTGCCTTTGCTTCACTCTCCTGGTGGGAAGAAGCTTTTATGCCTTTAACCTGTATGCCAGGGATGGATTCTCACTGCTATCTGTTGTACTGCAGGCGGCTCGAAACTGTTTGGTAAATGATCAAGGAGTTGTTAAAGTATCTGACTTCGGCCTGTCCAGGTGAGGGTGCCTCTTTCATCTTTCTCTCTAAAAGTAAAAATAGCACAGTACAAATATGAGGAGACATCATAGTTTTCAATCTTTTCCCTTTCTTTTTTCTCATTCTAGTCTTTTCCAACATCTTTCTATACTTTTTCTTTCTCTGAATGATTTGTCACTTCTTTCATTCTTTTGTTTTACTGTTATATTCCTTTCTTCTATTTCCTTCCCTTTAAAAAATATCTTTATTGCTTTTCAGAGAGGAAAGGAGAGATAGAAACATCAATGATGAGAGAGAATCATCAATCAGTGCATGCCCCACGTGCCCCCCAGGATCAAGCTCAAAACCTGGGCATATGCCCTGACAGGGAATCAAACCACTGAGCCATGCTGGCCAGGCTCCCTCCTCTTTTTTTAATTAAATTTTTCCAATACCTTATCTTGATCTGTTAATCCTGTTGACTCTACATCTTTTCTCTTTCTTTCTTTCTTTCTTTCTTTCTTTCTTTCTTTCTTTCTTTCTTCTCTCTTTCTTTCTTTCTTTCTCTCTCTCTCTCTCTCTCTCTCTCTTTTTCTTTCTTTTTTTCTTTCTTTCTTTCTTTCTTTCTTTCTTTCTTTCTTTCTTTCTTTCTTTCTTTCTTTCTTTCTCTCTCCCTTCCTTCCTTCCTTACTTTTCTTTTTTTTGTTAATCCTCATCCAAGAATATTTTTTCCATTGATTTTTTTTAGAGAGAATGGAAGAGAGGGCGAGAGACAGAGAGAAAGAAACATTGATGTGAGAAAGACACATCAATTGGTTGCCTCCCGCATGTGCCCTGACTGGGGGCTGGGCATTGAGCCTGCAATGGAGGTAGGTGCCCTTGACTGAAATCGAACCCTGGACCCTTCTGTCTGTGGGCTGACTAACCACTGAAGAAAACCGGTCAAGGCTTTCTTTTCTTAATCAGTCTAAGTCCCACTGGCAACTGCAGAATAGATGGAAGGGAAGGAGAAGAAAAGATAAAGGAAAGGGATAGAGAAGAGAAAGGGAGTACTTATTAGATCTTATTTCATTTCATCCTTGCTGTAACTATATTGTCAATCAGGAAAGCTAAATCAGATATGAGAACAGGAACATGTTAAAAATAACATTTGTAGAAGACACTGGATGGCCTGTGGGCATGTATGTGTGCAACTCTTGTTACTGTGCCAAGAAAACATAAGTAAATGCCAAACTCTCCAAATCCTAACACTAACAAGTCCTGAATTCTTTGCAGGTATGTTCTGGATGATGAATACACAAGCTCAGTAGGCTCCAAATTTCCAGTCCGGTGGTCTCCACCAGAAGTCCTTATGTACAGCAAGTTCAGCAGCAAATCTGACATTTGGGCTTTTGGTGAGTGATTAAGATTATAAATACAATGGGGAAACTGACACTTTGCAAACTGTACAGAGATTATTTGTTCTTGCTTTCGTTCATCTAATCCTTAGGGAGTGCTTACTATGTCTGGCACCACAGCATTTCTCGGTATAAAACCAGTAAACTAGACACAATCCCTGCCACTTAGAACTTACAAAATATTGAGGGGAACAAACGATTCATTCAGTATTCGACAGCTTCTGAATACTGATTATGTACTAGGGACTGTGCCAGACCCTATAACCACAAAGACAAAAAAGATGCTGTCTCTCTCCTGAAGGACCTAATGGTCCACTGCAACCCTAATTAACCTCCAGTGTAGTCAGTACTATAGTGGAAGTTTGGACAAAACACAAAAAGCACAGAGGGGCAAATCAACTGAATCTAATCTTTGAGGTTAATCTAGGAAGAGTAGGATCCCGGCTACCTGAAAAGACTGAAAAATGACTACTTTTTTTTTTCATTTTCTAGGGGTTTTGATGTGGGAAATTTACTCTCTGGGGAAGATGCCATATGAGAGATTTACTAACAGTGAAACTGCTGAACATATTGCCCAAGGCTTACGTCTCTACAGGCCTCATCTAGCTTCAGAAAGGGTATATACCATCATGTACAGCTGCTGGCATGAGGTAAGTGTTTTACTGAGACCTCTTAAATTATTTCCCTGAATCTACTTTATCATTTAGCCAGCCAGGCACCCAGTCCCCACTCTCCCTGGCTGCATGGAGCTACATACATTCTAGGACCCCAGCCAGCACCCTAATCCTTTGATAGCCAGAGGCTTTCCCAGGCCACTCCAATCCTCACTAGAGTATTATTTTCAGACTCCAGTACCAACTCAGCTTTAGGGAAAGGGGGTGAGGCCATGTCACCTAGTATACACAAGCAGTCAAAGGCACTCAGACAAATGTATGGGCATTTTTAAAAAGTCATTAAAATTTGTGTTTATTCCCTTGGGAGTCATTGGTTCTTTCTTCTACTTTACTGCCAACCTTTTCTGGCTGTGGTCCTAAGTGAGATTTTAAAAATAAAGACTCAATGACCCCAAAGGGAACTAAAACAGGTAGTGCTCTTTTTAAAAAATATGGTACATTATGGGGCATGTGGTATCCTAATATATAAAAACCCAGGGTCCGTAACATCCAATATGACTGAAGGCTCAACCTACCGGAAGTCAGTCCTGCAGTTAGTGCTGGGTTATCGTGGCGACTCAGCACTGACTGACGCTGCTGCAGGCGCTGCAACCCAGCACTGAATGCCGAGGGGGCTGCAGATCGGGCCCAAAGAGAGGCCTGGAGAGAGAAGCAGGGTCTGATCCGTAGCCTCTGTGGCAGCTGTTGATCAGCCCTTGCCTCTCTCTTTCTCTCAGGGCCTGGCCAGCAGCCACGCCTCTCTGTCTCTCAGGCCTCCGCTGGGGCTGCTGATCAACCTTGCTCTCTGATCAGGCCCTTAGACCTGGAGACACTGACTGGCATAGAAACCGACCAATCAGAACCAAATCTGGATGAACTGTGAGGAGCCAACGGCTGCCTAGGAGGTGGAGCTTTTGACACTGATGAGCATAGAAACCAACCAATCAGAACCTAATCTGGGTGAAGTGCGAGGAGCCAAAGGCTGCCTAGGAGGTGGAGCTTTTGACACTGACTGGCATAGAAACCGACCAATCAGAACCTAATCTGGGTGAACTGTGAAGGCAGAACCTAAGGTGGACGCTGAGGAGGGGTTTTAAGGGCAACAGCTGTTTGGTGTAAGGTGTAAGAAAGTGGTTTGATATTTTAATGACCAGTTTGGCAGTATAGTACATACGGCTGGCTATCAGTCCAGATATAGGGGTTATGTATTTTTGTCTGCCAAGAGCATCTCCTGCTGAAAAAGGCCCCCCCCCCCCATTTAAGCAACCCTATCCTATATAATCTATCTATACTACTAAAAGGGTAATATGCTAATTAGACCGGGTCGACTGGCCATCTTCTGGACATCAGACTTCTTTCCGGACAAAGCCATGGTGGTGAGGGCCAAGGCAGAGGCCATTAGTGCTGATCAGGCCAGCAGGAGTGGGCAGTTGGGGGTGAGATCAGGCCGGCAAGGGAGGGCCATTGGGGGCTAGATCAGGCTGGCAGGGGAGAGCAGTTAGGGGCGATCAGGCAGGCAGGCAGAAGTAGTTAGGGGCAGTCAGGCAGAGATGTTAGGGGCGATAAGGCAGGCAGCAGAGGGGTTAGGGCAGGGGTGGGCAAACTTTTTGACTCGAGGGCCACAATGGGTTCTTAAACTGGACCGGAGGGCCGGAACAAAAGCATGGATGGAGTGTTTGTGTGAACTAATATAAATTCAAAGTAAACATCATTACATAAAAGGGTACGGTCTTTTTTTTTATTTTTAGTTTTATTCATTTCAAATGGGCCAGATCCAGCCTGCGGGCCGTAGTTTGCCCAGGGCTGGGTTAGGGGCAATCAGGCAGGCAGGCAGAGGCAGTTCGGGGCGATCAGGCAGGCAGGCAGATGAGCAGTTAAGAGCCAGCGGTCCCAGATTGCAAGATTGATGTCCCCTAAGGGTTCCCCGATTGGAAAGGGTACAGGCTGGGCTGAGGGAACCCCCTCCCCTGCACAAATTTTGTGCATAGGGCCACTAGTTTTGAAAATAAAGGGCCTGTCCCATTATTACTAAAATGCTTTGCTGCTCTCACCTTTGGTTCTTCCAGAGGTGCCTTCTCCACTTTTCAGTAGATCCTTGGCAACCTTAATTTGGCGACCAAAACCTCTTAGTTCTGCCCTACTAGAAACAGAGAAGGACAGACAGTGTCCAACAAGCACATATGTGAATCTAGAGCAGTGATGGCGAACCTATGACACACGTGTCAGAGGTGACACGTGAACTCATTTTTTTGGTTGATTTTTGTTAAATGGCATTTAAATATATAAAATAAATATCAAAAATATAAATCTTTGTTTTACTATGGTTGCAAATATCAAAAAATTTCTATATGTGACACGGCACCAGAGTTAAGTTAGGGTTTTTCAAAATGCTGACACGCCGAGCTCAAAAGGTTCGCCATCACTGATCTAGAGCCCTCTTGGTGGGGTGAAAATTGGGGATCTGGATCAGAGCATGGCAAGTTTTCCTTCAACAAATGACTTGGGTCACAAAGAAAGTAGGGAGAACCTCTTGAAGACATTTCCCTTCTATCTCCTGTGCCATGCAGGATTAAGGGTGACTGGCTATGCTCCCTCCCAACTAGGATACCCTCACTCTGTTAGTTAACTGTTTCAGAGAGGCACTTTCCCTACAGCCTGTTTAAAGTGGTAGTCTCCAAACTGGATGCACATCAGAATCCCTGGAGAACTCTTAAAAGTACAGCTGACTGAGCCTTATCTGCAGAAATTCTGATGAGGTATATCTGGAGTGGAACTCAGAAATATCTTTTTAAACTTCCCAGGAAATTCTGATACTCAGCTAGGTTTGAGAACCACTGATTCATAGGAACAAGAAATTGATGGCATTTTGGTTTTGATGAATTGAGACCTTTGTGGTATGACTATGCCCGGAATCACTAAATACCTCAGGGGCTTGTGGACCATGACAATAGTCTAGACAAGACAGTAAGTCTCAGGTGCTCAGGATCCCTGCCCAGTGATGCAGTCCATGGTTTCGAAATGTTAAAATTCCTTATTACGTTTGACTATGAGATAATAGAAACAGTGTTTGAAACCCAACTAAAAATTACCAAAGGTTATAGGATTTTAGTTCTGTCAACCACTTAAATTTGATAACCATTTTTTTTTTCAGTTGAGGATGCAAAATAATAATGCACTGGTGTATAATTATGTAATGAATTTTCCCTGTTTTAATCAATATATTAGTTTGATTTGCAAATTGACCTCATCACATTCATAACCCAATGGAAAGTGCACGAGTATTTTATAGAGTGCTACTATTTCTTTTCTCTTTTTTTCTGTCTTGACAGGATATATTTCTGGGCAGATAGTATATACTTAATAAACATTTGCTGCACACTCATTGCATTTCCCTTGAATTCTGGATTTTAACTCATTATAATACTTTACTTTTTCTTTGGTTTTAGAAAGCAGATGAACGTCCCACTTTCAAAGTTCTTCTGAGCAACATTCTAGATGTCATGGATGAAGAATCCTGAGCTCACCAATAAGCTTCCTAGTTCTACTCTCCTCCACAAACTCCAATTTCACTTTCTTGAGGCAAACCAAAGCTGCAGGCCCTAGAGCCTTTGTGCTCTGGCTGAATACACAAAGGCCCCTCTCTACATCTAGGGCTGCCTCTCTTCTTTGATTCCCTGGGATAGTACCTTCTGAGCAAAGGCCAAGGAATTATGGTGCCCGGTACTGTCCCCCAGAGAAGAAATTTCCCAAGAGTATTAAGACAGACTGAATCTGGGATGGAAACAGTTTTGGGGGAGGGAAGGGTGTAAATAGCCTCACGAGGGGTCCAACAGCTCTTTTGGGTATGCATTAGAGCTTGCTGGGAGGGAGGCCGAATTTGGCAAAAATATAACGGTGTCATAAAAATGGGAGGGGAGGGTGTTTTCATAAAATAAAATTACTGGAAAGCATGAAGGCTTCTTGCTCTCTTGATTAGTCATGCAGCCTCCCTGAAACACCCTATCTCAGTGTTCCAGAAAACTATTGTGCAGCATTTGGTTTGGCATATTCCTACCTTGAGAATTCGACAGGATCCTAGGCATTTAACCCCTCTGGCTGTTGGAAAATTCTGCCTCTGAATCAAACTAACAAGCTAAAAATTACAGTGCCTTGCACACAGTAGGCATGTAATGTTATCGGGATAAAGCTTACAATTGGAGCCGAATTTTCCTGGATCCTTTTTTCCCTAAGTCAGGAGCGGGCAACCATCAAATTAGAGCCGCGGGCCCAGATGGCTAAGAGATGGGTCGAGCAATCCCTGCCGGGCACTACTAACAAGGCAGTTGGGAAAGCCGGGGCCAATTTGGAAGCAGGCGGGATTGTAGGGGCTGAAACAGGCCAGGTGGTCTGAAGTAACTTCCTTTTTTACTTTATTTTTTCTTTTCGGAACAATGTCTGCACAGCGTCTTGGCGCTGGGATGCAAGACCTGGAACCTCAGTCAGCAAGCAGGGCCGAAGAAGGGCGCAAAGGCGGCCGGGAGCAGCGCTGGGAGCGGGAGGGGCGTGGGCGCGCGGCGGGAGGAGCGCCTAGAGAGGGCGGAGGGCAAGGGACCGGGGTGGGTTCGCAGCGCGCGCAAGGGGGAGGAGCTGGGCCCGGAGGAGCCAATTAGAGTGGGCGCTGGGGTTGCCGGGAGAAACGCCCTGCAGGGGGCGGGGCCCGCGAGGAGAGCTCGCGCGAGCACAGTGCGCTCACGGGGGAGGCGGTCCCCAAGGCGGCGGGTTGTGGTTCCGGTTCCGTCGCGGAGACACGTGAAGGTCGGCGAGTTGGTGCGGAGTTCGTTTCGGCGCGCGTGGCCGGCTGGGATGGATTCCTCTTCGAATTCCTCCGCGGCGGGTTTGGGCTCAGTGGACCCGCAGCTGCAGCATTTCATCGAGGTGGAGACTCAGAAGCAGCGCTTCCAGCAGCTGGTGCACCAGATGACGGAACTTTGTTGGGTGAGGAGCCTGGGGCTGGGACCTGGCCACCTTACCTACTTTCCCCTTGTCCTTGCCCCGTGGGACTCGGCGCGATGTCCGGAATTCGGGGAGGGGGAGCACCCGACAGCACCCCTTGGTTTCCTTATATTCCACGGGCCGAGCCGGATGGGAGAAAAAGTGACTCCGCTTTTTAGGGGACTGTCACTCCGGACCTAGGCTTTGTTGGTGCGAAGAACCGGGGATCATAGAAGACTTATGCCGCCGTCCCAACCAGCACTTTAGGCCAGCAAGACTGATGACAGCCCCTCCATACTGGGGTCTTAGTTTTGGAACCTCGAGTCCTGTTCCAGGGTTTACCTTGATTATCCAGTTTCTCTAACCGTCCTCTGTGAGAAATGAATGACTCTAGCCCACTAACTATAAAAGTGGTGTAATCTCTCCACACTTACTTGCCCCTTTTCTTGCATTGTTGTGTAATACCAAGCCGTTTTGGGTCTGAAGGTTGAGGAATTGAATATGCCCTGTGAGGGGACTTTGGCAAAAGGGTGAAGGCATTTGCGCCTTGGGATCAAACTGTTCTCTGGCTGCCAACAACAGCATGACTGCCCAGCCCTGACATACAAAATCCATAGACTTCAGAGGCCAAGGGTAATTTTTCGGAAGCAGAGGTTTTGAGGCTTGTGTACAGAGCATAGAATAATGACCAAATTCATTTGAACTGCTTAACTTGAACTATATACAGTCAACGGTTTCCATAGTCCTTTTCCCATAAGCTTGCGGTATTGTTGGACTCTGACCCTTGACAAATGCTTACCTAACTCCTGTCTGCCTTGGAGCAGTGCTTTGATTCTTTTAAAAAAAAATGTGATTCATTATATTTGGTCCAGTGTTGGGTATGATTAAGTACTCCTCCAAGACTCTGTAAGTTTTAGGAAAATTCATGCAATTTACTATTCATATTGAACTCAAGAACCTCTGGCTTAAGTAGACAAGGTTACAGAATCTCAGGTCATAGACCTTTTTTCCCTCTGGTAGGTTTTTTTATGGTGTCTTGCTGCAATGATTTAGCCTTTTACCCTTTTATTCTGCAGTAAATTTAAAGGCATTTAATACAGTTGACATTGTGGAGTTATAACCAAATTCAGTGAAGGATTAATTAACTTATATTTTACCATTTTTCTAGTTTTGTAATAATCTCAGCTCCACAATTTTATGGTACTATGATGTTAGGCAAAGTATCTCTGTGCCACAGTTCCCCTCTTTATAATGTGAGGATTAATAATAGTACCTATTCTGTAGGGTTATAAGAATTTGATGTAAGGCTGTAGAAAATTTCTCACCACAAAGTAAGCTGCTGCCAAATGTGAACTATTATTAACACATCAGATACTGTTTTAGGTGAAGTGTTTCCTTTAAACAACAAGAAGTTAATCCCCTTTCCTTTTTTCCCAAGTTCCCTTTGTGATTCTTATCTTGTCCTCCTGACCAGGAGAAGTGCATGGACAAGCCTGGGCCAAAGTTGGACAGTCGGGCTGAGGCCTGTTTTGTGAACTGCGTTGAACGCTTCATTGATACAAGCCAATTCATCTTGAATCGACTGGAACAGACCCAGAAATCCAAGCCAGTCTTCTCAGAAAGCCTTTCTGACTGATTTCAGCATTACCTTTTTGGAAAAAGGAAGGTAGTTCAAGAGTGGTTGAAGAAAAGGCTGCAGGGGGATTGGCTCCCACCTTTGGCACTCTGGAAGTATCTGGTCATCTGAGAATGAACAAAGACCAATATTTTTGTGTGTTTGGGGCTTGAGGGTTATATGTGTATTTGGTTGTGCTTTTTTAATGTTAATCTTGTGAAAACAATTGGCAGATGAATGGAAAACCTTCTTAGATGCATATTACTGTATGTGGGGCTATGTTTTTCTGAACGTCCCATTAACTGCTTTGTATAATTTGGATAGTGGAACTGCTTTTTGTAATTTGATAGTGGGACCACATGGATAAAATCTGTCATTTGTGGATTCATTTCAGATGCCTAGGGACATTGATACACATCTTGGTGTCTGAGAAAGGGTGGCGATGGGGGAAGTTATTTGGTACTTAACTAGTGTTTTGACCATCAGTGCTGGGGAAAAATCTATAGAATATTCATATAATATAATTCAGCTTTCTAAATTATCTCCCTTCCTTATACTGTGATTTACTTAAGTATCTATATAAAGTATGGTCTCGAGGTAGGTAGTACAGGCAGCCTGAGTATCTAGAGGCCTTTAGTTATAAAGGAATCTAGCCAGTGAACATAATTCTCATTACTAAAGTGCCATGAGGAAGAATTTAACTTATCCTGTATATCAGGATCAAAGAAATTCAAAGATGGGCCTAAATAAGTTGTAAAGATTTAGGCCTGTCAAAAACTAACAGCAGTTTCATGTAGAGGTGCATGTCTAATGTCAGTCAATCAGTATAGATTCTATTTACTGCAATTTTTTGGTCATTGAAATAAAAGCTTCTACAAGATTCAACTGTGTGATTGAGAAGGCTTTCTATTCAGGTTTTCGTCTGCACCCTGGAGAGATTGGGTATGTTCTGGTTCCAAGACTGGTTTCAGTCTGGGTACCTGCTCTGTATAAGTTATAGCACAGTATTCCAGGGATCCCTGACCTTTTTGTGGAAAAAAAGAGAGAGAGAACCTTGAGGAGAAATGGGGAGGGAAAGAATTCAGTGCTGACAGTCACAGTCAATTCCCTGAGTGTAGTAGAAGAGGTTATATTGATTGGATTCCCCTCCTCTTACTTCAAATCCTAGTAGATTGGAGTCTAGTTGGTACTACTTGTTTGGTGCCTCTAGTGCAAATCCATGAAAGTTGGGGAAATAATATATTTCTAGAAGCCTCAAGTCCTTTTAGCTTTCCTGCTTATAGGCATAACAAGGAATTTGAACATTTTCTGATTAAAACAATTCAACAAACATCAAAGTGCTTACTTTGTGCCCGGAATTCAGCAGTGCACAAAAGCAAAGTCCCTGTCCATGTGGAACTTATGTTCTAGTGAGGGGAGATAGGCAATAAACACATAAATATATCAATTATTGAGTGCTGTGGAGAAAAAGCAGAGTAACCGTGTTGGGGAATGTCCATGGGGTGTTGATATTTGAGATAAGATGGTTAGAGAAAGCTTCACGGGGACAATGGCATTTCAGCAGAGACTTGCATGAATTAAGTGTCCAAGCCATGTAGGTTTCTAGGAGAAAAACATTTTAGGTAGAAGTGATGCAAGTCCAAAAGCCCCAGGGTGGGAGCTGCATGCGGTGAAGCTAAGGTAGAGCAGTGGTCAGTATGGCTGGGGTGAAGTAAGGAGAATGGTAAGAAAATCTGAGATATTCTTGAAATGGATTGGGGCTGGGAGGTGGGGCAGGGATGTGCAGTGATCATGTAGGGCAGTGGTTCCCAAACTTATTTGGCCTACTGCCCCCTTTCCAGAAAAAATATTACTCAGTGCCCCCTGGAAATTAATTTTTTAAAAATTTTAATAGCAATTAAACAGAAAGATATATGTATTAATGTTTCTACCTTTTTCGTAAAATATAGTAAAGAAAGGTGTAAATTAGAAACATTGAAGTTTGAAATTATGAAACTATTTATTGAACTCAGAATAGAAAGGTAATACAAAAAAAGTTAAAACAAATGCACCTGTAGCCATCACCGCCCCCCTGGATCGCTGCAGCGCCCACCAGGGGGCAGTAGCGCCCACTTTGGGAATCACTGATGTAGGGTATTGTAGGCTCTTGCAAGGACTTGGATTTTACCCAGCAAGATGGGGAGCCATTTGGGGATTTTAAGCAGAAAAGTGATGTGATTTACCTTAAGATTTAGGAGGGTCTGGCTGCTGTGTGGAGAACATGTACATGGGAAAGAAATAGCGGCAGCAAAGTAGTAAGAATAATGCCATTTTGAGGTCCAGAAAATATCAGGTTTTTAGGGTAGTTACCTGCAATACACTTTGTGTCAATATGCTCCT